TATATATACAAATTTTTTAGCTTTGATCTCTCGACTGAACTGAAATATTGCCTGAACTGCAATGTAACTCAAAAGTTTATCAACATCCAGTGTCTATCTCACCTTTCTAGCATATCACACGGATCACGTGTATAGAGTTAGAATGCCGTGAATTTTCATTCGATTTGTCAGCTGCTTGTTCTTCTCGTGGATATAATATGTAAAAATTTTCGTTCTCATTTTCACACACTGTAATCTGATGGATTTTATAATTCCAGCTGGTATGGGACCGCCTATTCCGGCGCTTGTTCTTAAGAAGAAAAGACGTAAACGTCATAGACGCTTAAAAGAATTATCCACTAATCAAACAGAGGTAAATATTTTTGTGATTATTTATTACGGTCGTTTATAGCATTGACATATTTTTATTGTTGCAACTCGAATAGCTGCTATCAGTTGGGCGCTGAAAGGAAAGATGATATTAGATGGTAGGTTCAAAAAGATTAACTGAGTTACTAATAAAATGCCGAATACATTCGTTGACCATATTGAGGAATTTCATTACATCGATGCAATCGTCTTATTGTATCAGAACTCTGTTTTCATCCTTGTGTCAATCAATTTTAGGCCTTTTTTCTAACATTATTGCGAATGTATTGAAAAGTTAATGGATCTTCATCCAGGCGATTGTCAGTCTTCTTTGGCTTGTATTATTCAAACGTTTTACATTTTTCCCTGAAACCTCATACCTATTTCATTTCCATTCTTTCATTTCATTGCATTTATTTTCATGAGGGCATTTTTCTCTTTTTAGCATTCATCTGTTTCATAACCTGTTTATGTTTTTATGAAACGATTTGCAATAGATACGTTTATTAGTATAACTGGTCAAAATAATATTTGAAAATCGAAGACAAGAAGTTGTTCTTTATTGTAAAGAATTTATTTCTTATATGATGTTCTTGTTGTGCAGAAAGATGCATCGAATGTAGCTCATCCAGTTGATCCGAACGGTTATGTCAGTGAAGGAGATGATAATTCAACGAAAGATTCCACTCAATTTCGATTGCAACTCGCCTCTTCAGAGCCAGATCTCACTAAGGTTCTCAAATATACGATCGGAATACCACACTTCAGTTTTTCATTATAGAACTCCTTCAGCATTTCAATTTCTAATTGATTTCGACTTCAAAACCCAGTTTCCTTTGGAATGGAAGCTGAGTCGAAAAAAAAAACTAGTCACATTCACGTAGATGTAACTGATCTTTAGTAGCAAAGTGGATCATAAGAAGCATTTTTGCATTTCTAGAATAGCAATTCGAAACGAGCATCAGAAGAGTCTGGCAATATTGAAGGCAGTTTACTACATGGATCGTGCCCTGATCTTTCCGACTCACAGCTACAGTTATGGGACTCTCTTCTCGTGAGTGTATGGTTGACCGTTATCTTTTTCACTCATTAATATTTGATAAATTCCCATCAAGCAAATGCAATGTTTTCTTTTAGATGAATACTTCCGCATGAGTACTCAACTTTTTCATGATTGTTATGAATATGCACTGATCAAAGTAGTAGTGAGTAAGCTAATGCTGAGTGAATGTTATCTTTGATATTTATGAGCAGATAATTCTGATTTTTGTCGGAACTGGTTCAAGTAATTGATTGTGGAACAGTCGTTGTTTTAGTACGATGCAGTAGTGAATGAACAACAACGATTGGACAATGAAACGTCGTCCATCTTGCCTCGTGATCGTTCAAAATCACGTTCCGGTTCGTCTTTATCTATTCTTAATGATTTTCTAACGGAATTTTTGCTCGTATCAAGTTCATATATCACAAATTAACGAATTCGATGTGATGAAAAATCATGCTTTAAAATATTTCGCGGTTCCATCATTTAAAAAATATACATTGCTCTCGTTTATCAGTTTAATGAATGGCTAGACGACAAGCATCTATATGGTTTATCAAATTCTTCGTATAATTTAGAATGCCCTATGCCTATGGAGTATGAAATCGCTTCACGAGCAGTACTATCAGCTATCGATTCGGCCTTACATGCGGATGGAATATGTTCAAAAGAAGTGAGGCGGCTTGATAAGCAACTTCAAGGTAGGTTTAGTCATTCAAACCGTGTTCAACAAGTTAAAATGCGCTTGAATAAATAAGAAGGGAATTTATCAAATTCGATATTTCGTGCTTTGAGAAGTTCATTGAGCATATAATTTCAATGGCGTATAATTCGAAGGAAAAGAAATGGAGGATTCGTTGTGTGAAGAGCAACTGATAGATCGTTTGAGGGACAACGTGGATAATCGTTTTGTTGATTCGCCAGCATCAACGACAAAAAGTTTGAAGGCTGAAATCGAAGAGCTGTCATTTAGGCCAACAATTTCGGTATTTAATTTCATTCAAAAAGTGTTTAGAACGTATTGCAGTTATAAGGTCATTCAATGAAAATCAGTTTAAATTCCAAACCGTTCGCATTAATCATTTGTCTTTGTGCTCTCATTTTCATGATATCCACTTTCATGATAGCATGGTTATCTTAGAAAAAACATCGTTGAATTTGTCTTAAATGCGGCTTCGAACCAACCTACAGTCTGTCTTTCAGTGTGTTTGATGATCTCGAGTAAAAGGAACTTTTGATCCGAAAAAATGCTCGCTTCCACTCATTTTCACTGACCAATTTTCTGGCCGTATTTAAGTGTAACAGAAATCAATAGATTTGAATTTGAAATTCTTCGTGCAATATTAGTATGGTTCTTTTGCGGGGGCGTCGGTTCTTTAAGTGAGATTGTAATTGCTGTTTAATAATTTCAGCATTATGGCTACCCACAAAGTAATCCGGTGCGTGCTCATATGGCAACATTCAATCCTGATTATAATACAACTGAATCGTCGATTGTTGATCGTGGGGAGGAGGTTTGTTCTTTGTTTTTTTTTAATATGGGCGAATTTCGTCACTTTATTGAGATGGAGGAGGTGTGTTCAATTGAAGTGTTGTCTGTCTCAGATAACGTAATCTCATTTGTTATCATTTTGAAACAAGATCAGTTGTAAATTCAAAGAGAATTTTCAGTTCGAATGTGTTTGTGCGAAATTGCTTTGAGTTTACTTGCGCTTTTCTTCAGTGCCGAGAGAAGACTTGAACATAGCATTTTATCTGAAAAAGCCAAATTAAGATAAACAGAGCAGTATGGTATAAGGGGCTATGGCACAGTTACGAATGTCCCATATGATAAACTTTCAGCAAGGTTATGTAGAAGATTGTTTCGAGGGAATGCATATTCGTGTTAATCGATTCGATGAGGGCGATGTAAGTGAAAATTGTTTTGGTTGAGTACTTTGCTCAGTTCATCCCTTAACTCTACAAATCATTGTTTTACTTTGTTTCTATTTGTGTTTCGACCAATTGAGTTGTCATTAAATTTCTCACCTCTCAGTGTTTCATATCTTCCTTTAGAAATCTGCTGTTTGACAGATTCATTATACCGTTATGTGAACGTGATCCGCTTTCACACTGCGAGGTCTCCTCAGCTGTAGGAGATTAAAAGAATGATCACTAAAGAAGAAATTGAATCGAGCTTTTGTGATCGTTGTCTACAATGATCGCTAATATTTAATGGCATGAAATCATAATGGGAAGTTAATTTCTGTTCGAAAATTCTCACTCTGCGATCTGTATCTGTTTAGCCTTAATGGTCTATGTGCGGATTGATCTTAAGGGTGGGCAGACTGACAGATCTTGTCACGAATATCGGTTATTTTTTAGTGATACATTGTACTACACTAGTTCTGCAGATATCACTGCTGCCGAAAATTTCTTTCCTTCAATGATGAATTCTGAAGCAAATAACCGAAATAATTCGATGTGCAAGAATCTTTTGTATGAAAACTTTTTCCAGGAACTTGCACTCTCGGATTCCGAATTACCGAGGCCTTCCCGATTTCAACAGATTCAATGGGCTTTACAGAGAGGTAAGGAGCAGTATACTCGACTGGTACCACCCCAACGAGTTTGTTGCTCATTGATGTAAAATATGTGGAAGTAACATGAGATTGCAGCAAATGCTACATGTTTTTTTTTTCAAATTGTGTATGCATTCGTTCGCATAGACTCGTTATTAAGATGCACAGCATATTCGTGATTAAGTAATTCATTAAAATTCGCTGCAGTGATGCTCGGAAAGTTCCATTAAAGTTGATTCGGTGAAATCATCGAAATTATGTAGAGACATCGCAGTTGCAATTGTTCACATAAAATTATTGTATGCGAAATGCAGAATCATAATATCTCAGGAAACTTTTAGTTCCATCCACAATTTTTGCTTGAAAAGAACTATTTATTAGAAAGGTGAACAAAATGAAAATTAGACAAAAACTTTGATGTTGAAATTCATGCCTTATTGTTCAGTTATTTAAGAATCTATTTTTTGCTGGATGCGCACATTTTGCTACACTTAAGAGACAGCTGAAGGAAATGCGAAGACTATCAGCAATTTTGTGAACAGGGTTCAAAAAGATATTCGTTCATTCATTCATAACCAAAGAAAAATCCATCTATCGATTGCGTATTGTGTGTTATTGTTTTACAGTTCAATTGAAAAGGTGAAAATAAATCATGATTTTCAAAGCGGATTGTTGTTGGTTGTATTTGAATAATAATGTTTCAAACGAAACTTTCGAAAACAACATCATTATATCACTGCATATCAATTCATTCGTTGATGGTCAATTAAAGCTTTGAACAACACTACATCAAAGGTCATTCAATTAGCAATAATCATTTTTACTTTAACTAACTAACTCATCAAGAATGTTCAGCTGCTACCATCGTAACTTGATTTTTTTTTGCAATACGTAGCACCAATTGTGCGATAGATAGTCAAACTGATTGAAGTTTCAAAAGATGCTGATTGATCTGATGAGTGCCACTCAAGGTTGGAACAGCGAGAAAAACATACAAAGTTCGTTTGTTATTGCTCTGGAAAAGTTAACGATACATAGATTGCATCATTGTTTAGTAATAATTTTGTAATGCACATTATAATGAACACCCTTGGTAACTGCTCCTGAAGCTGAAGTAAGTTGTTTGACATAGCAGTAGAAGTGAACAGAACAAAGCTTTTCTGTTTCGATTCAGTAATTGATTGCATTTCAACTCTATGAAATTACCTTGTACAGTTGAAATGATTGCGATTTTCAAGAACATCCGCGAAGACCAAACTGCAGCAATGTGGAGAAGCCTTGCGGTTGCTGCAAAAAGACGATGCAGAGATTACTTCAATATTCCATATTATGTAACTCAGCGGTTTCGGTAAACATCGGCAACAATAGGATGTCTTTCTTTACGATCATTACCGGCACTGTCAATTTTGGACATTTATGGTTTACTTGATATGTTTCGATGTGATTAGGCTTCGATTTGTTTATACTATTATAGTTACACTTCTTCATTCACAATAGTTTCCATTCTGGTTCATCAATACTTATCTTACAATATTGACCGAAGGTCCCAATCAGATGGAACAGATTCTCATAGTTTTCAAATCTCGCTTATATTTCATTATCGAAATCAAATATCTTACCTCATTGCCACAGTCGCCCTCACGAAAACTGCTACAAAAATGCGACCTTGGCTGATAAATACTAGTGGGAACAATTCGAAGCAATGCCGTCCCAGTTGCTAAGTGTAAATATTCCGATTCAATATTTCAATAGGGTATGCATGTTTGCACTTTTTTTGGCAAAACAATCAATTGCAAATGGATTATCATTAAGACTTTATGAAACAAATTTTCATATTTCAAATTTTTTTTTTCATATGAAACAAATTTTCATACTTCATATTTCTCTTATATAATGCATTTTAAACATATTGTCCACATCATCATCTATGGTATATA